TCAGTGTGAAATAATATGTTTAACTGAAGAATTCAGTACAAAATCATGAAACGATTTCAGATTTAACACAGTATTTCTGTTAAAAGTTTAAATTCATGATTTCGATTGCAATAGCTTTTTATCAGTCTGTATGAGCGAATTTCTACTGCCTGTAGAACGCAAGCCTTTAACTTGTGAATAGCTATAAGTACAAATTTTAAACGTCTGCATCTTGGATGCTACCTAATAAGTGTGATTCAGATGAATATGAGTTAGCGCTTACTTTTATGTTCACTAGCCATCCCCGAATATTTTTGTTCACATTATGCGTAGAAGCTCCAACAGGGAACGTCTAAGAAGTGATTCTAAATTATTCTCAAATATAACTGCCGAAACTTAAATTGCATAATAATCATTCAGAGTAGTGTCTGTTTGAGACAGTACAAGCTTATTTATTTGTTTCATACTACTTCGATATAAAACAGCCATCAAAAAGGACCAATTAATTTGGTTAACACTCAATTAAAGGTAGCATTATTTAGCAACAGTTGCCTGATCATCCACGAAGTGCTCCTGTATACCAACAATGTTAATTTCATATTTTTTTAATTCTGTACCTAAGAATTATCTTTTATTCTATCTTGATAGTCAAGATTTACCGTTTCATAGTTAATAAATGCAATGAAGACAAATGAGAAACTAAATCAGAATGGAGAAGATAACTGAATATTTGTATAAGTAATAGAGTGGTTTTACCGCTACGGTTCAAATGATTTTAAATAAACCGATGTAGAAACCAATTTAGAATCCGCATGCTCGGTGTATCTTTTCCCTGTTTCTTGACTGGGGTCCCCGAGATGATAGGAATCAGTGGTTGAGGACTCATGGTGACACGGCTGAAAATCAGTCAGAATGGCTTAGATGTATTCACTCCTTGACGTTCTTTAGAGCGTGAAAATTTGTATTCGCCTACATCTTCAAATTGTTTATTGTGTCACACAACTTTCTCTTGTTTGTCAGTCATTTCTGCCACTTGTTCTTTAAGAAGTTTGGCGACTCGAATCGATGGAATTGTGTACGAGGTTCTACGTTTATTTTGTCTGTCTGTTTTTGAATGATGAAGACTTTCTCAATACGAATATGTCTACCAAATAGAACACAAAATCGGTCTCAGCGTACATGAGTTAGGCTATTACCAAGCATAATTCAGCAGAATCCCTCAAATGGAATCGGAAGTGAACTTCAAACTTTAATACATCTATGAGTCATTACTTTTTAAATATATGCATCCAGAACATAATTTTGCACAGTTATATCAATTCTTAGAAACACATTTGACTTAAATTTTACCAAACGGATCCCCAAGGTTTCATACCTTCGATAGACCATTCAGTTCAGACTATATTAATGAGCAAGACTATATCAGCATCAATAATACTTGGAACTACCATGAAGTATACACGAAATCCACGCACCAGATGTAAATGTTGCGAAATGATAGCACTAACCGATTTAAATTTAAGAAACAGTCTTCAGAAAGTGATTTTTTAGGGTGAAGGATGTAAATAATGTAATAAATATTGTGTGATGAAAATACCCCCAGAATTATTGCTGAAGGATCTCCATAATAAAGCTAAGCACTTTCAAATTAAACGAAGTTATTCACTCCTGTTTAGATGATTATAAGTCCAAAGTCAGTGCAACAGTTTGAACGCCAAAACAAAACCAAAGTAGAACTTCATATACAAGAGTAACGCTTTCCGTAGCCGTAGTTAAAATAAAAATACAAAGAACAAGCGGACAGAGAAGGAATGATATTCAAGAAGAAAAAGGTGTATGACAGGAGAATCAATTTGAAAATGACGGTCAGTCAAATTATATGAGCTTTAGAAAACATAGAACAGTACATATATCTGCCTCATTGAGACAGACACCCGATAAATATACAAAAACCAAATAAACACCAGCAAAAAGCATAGTTTCATTTGCCAAATGAGAAACGCAAACCAAGCATACGCAGTTATACGATTATGGCGTTCAGAAGAACATGCATATCCTCAGAAATTTCACATCGCAAAATAATATCACTTGTGGAATGAAAGAAAACCAGGTGACCTTCAGGAAGTAGATCGATTCCTGCGAATTCAGAGATATCGAAGGTTCTGTTCATTAGAAGGTCTATAACGAAGTTAGATAAGAACAATGACAGTGGGGATTCCCAGCAGACACCACTAGTTGTCGTCAGTTCTGTTAACAACTTTCCGAAAGCCCTTTAAATGGCTGCGTGAGTTCGAATAGAGAACTAACTACTATTATGAATTTCCTCGGTACTCCTTTTACAGTCGGACACTGCAACAACGCCTCTCGAGCGATAGAGTCGAACGTCGCCTTGAGGTCAAAAAGTTTGCGTGTCGGCCTTTGGCCGGTATGTATTCCTGTGCTCTGAAATCTGTTAGAGGGTGAAAATATGATCGATGCTACGTCATCCGTGTGTGAAACCTCCAAGGTTTTCTTGAGTTTGTTGTTCTCAAGTTCTGGTTTGGCGTCGGATAACTATGGATTCTGGGATCTAAAACACAATATTAGCCAGACTAACTTCCCTATGGTAATCGCAAGAAGACTTGTCTTCCTTCTTATACACTGGAGTGAGCAGTGAAGTCGACCAACCTGGCTGGAACGCGTTGACTCCCATAAACTACCTCGTCATTCCTCGCAATTTCCTACCTCCATCCTTGAAAACTTTGGGTGGCAAACTGTCAGGTACTGCTGGTTTGCGTCGTTTCATGTTCGATACAGATATCTCAGCTTCGATGAGAATCTAGGGACAGACATCTACGTCCCATTCATATTAGAACTGGATGTTGTGCAACTGTGGTGTTGCTGAGGGCCAGATGAACTGTGCTGCGAATTAGTCTCCCCAACGAGTGAGTCGTACATTCATTTCCGGTCATATTTTGACTTGACAGCATTCTTAATCAGTCGAGATAATAAGCGGATGTTATGGAAAGCTTATACTTTCTCCACTTCCTTAGCTTTAACCACATACCACTGCTGGAGATCATTTAGTCAAGTTACGTATAGGCTGCTTTCGTTCTTTATTGCAATCAAAGACTGCTGGAATCAGTCTACTCGTACCAATCAATTTGAATGACGTAGTGGGAATCCAATGGTATTTGGTAACCTTCCGGTATAGGTTCCCAACTGGTTTAATCCCTATTTCAGTAGCAGACCTAATATCACGCCAGGCTTTCTAAGGATGAGCACTGCTGCCACGCTAAGATCACTACTTACTTAACTCCACTCTAAATACTTGTTTGACGTCCCAATCGAGTGTAGATAGGCTTAAATTTTACATGTTTCCTGCGACCAGTATGGCGCAGATATATGGGTGCCCTAACAACGCTAGAGCAGAGTCCATACAGGTAGTCTCGAAAGAGCGTAACCCTTCCATATTAGATTAGTTTATTTGATTTACAACACACAGTAATCTAGTATTATTTACTTCATGACGTTTATAGCATAAATTACTGCTCATAATCATATCAATGTAATCACACTACTTTCGACATTCGATTTTTATAGTTATGTCACTTTATATGAGTTGTTTTTATTGGTAGCAAAATTTTCCATATCTCTGGTATAGGTGTTGCGTCATTTCTATTACATTTGTTGTGTGTTGATTCGATGAACAAAGATTCAGCAACCAATCTCTCTCTTAACTAATTATATCGGACTTAAGTACCGTGGCTTTATCCCACACTATTTTGTGGTTGTGTTAATGCATGCACAGCAATAGCCGAGTTTTTTTCTAGATTATTGGTCTTATTTAGGTCTATAATTCTATATTTAGATAAATTCCCATGTTTGGCTATTTTAACTGACCCCGACCGACTAGTTTGACCTATGTACTTGACCTCACAGTCATTACATGGAATTCGATAGACTACATTATTTTGCTGAATTGGTTCTATCGGACCCTTAGGCCGACAAAGTTTATCTCTGAGTGAGTTTGTAGGTTTAAATGCCACCCTAATTCCAGCTCTGTTGAGGATTCTACGTAAAGTTCCAGAGGTACCCTCCTCATAGGGTAATACAATGGAGGCTGTGAACCCCTTTAACTCGTGTTGCTATTATTGGTCGCACTCGTTTGACTGTTATTTTTTCGTTTTTTGTGTATCGAATCTATCCAACTGACTTTACTGGGATGGTAGGACTTCGAGGAAACAAGCTGTGGATCTCCTTAAGACTGTATATACATCCTCAATCATCAAATATTCCTTTCCATATATCTACTGCCTTTAGCGCAAACTATATAAGCAGTTAATAAATAACAATAAAGTTTTACGCATAACTAATTTTCCGACAAACAATAATGAAGGTTATATCTAGACATGTCAAAAAGTACACTACTCATACGCATTGGATGAGGAACAGTTGAAAATAAACTTATGAAACATCCAGGAGACTGTCTACAAAACATGAATAAATAAAACCACCTAAGCATAAGGCATCTGATGAATTTAACCACCATCTAAAACCCAATTCTGCGAAAACGTATACAGGTATGTTTGTTGGATCGATGACAACAAGATGCTATGAATGAATATCAGAAAGACAGAATAAGTTATTGCTCACTCCAAAGTAAAGAAATTTTTTATTTCAATTATTGTCCATCTACCTTTAACGGCCACGGTTCTTACCTCATTGGACAAATGAGCAACTGTGCTATCAACGTATTACTTTCCTTACCCAACCAGACTGTGAAATGTTCACCAAACAAGCAGACACAGTCAGTTTCAGACGTAAACATGACTGTAATAAACATTAACTGAATCACCAAAGTACATATTTTAAACCTATGTGGGATGCATTGAATAAAACATTATGTTTTGCTTCTGAAAAGTCACTGTGTTGTTGATTATATCTGTAACTGTATTCTACAGTTTTCCTCAAAAATGTAAAATTTCTGAAAAACATAGCAAAATGTAAGTTAACAGTCACATTTAACATTTTGTTTTCATCCCGAATATCAATGAAGATCTTAATGGTTCTGATTGTGATTTCTAAACTGCTTCATTGAGAACTGTCATTTGTGCTATTTTAGTAGAAAAGTCAATAATGCCATATATTCTTTATTAAAAGTTTGAATGACCACAGAATATATTCCTTGATATCATATTATGCTACCAAAAAATTCAACTAATTGGTTTGACATCAAATTTACACAAATATGTACATTTTCAACTTCGATATTACTATAATTTGTGTTTTCCATGATTTCTGAATTTCTTTGCAGGTTTATTTTTCTTATTACTATTATTTCCCTTCATATCTTGGATTTTTCTGCGCTTCTTTTTCCCTATATGAAACGATTTGAAATTCTGTCCGTTTGTCTCCCCTTCTTCAGGAGTAGTTGACATTACATTCATTACCTCTGAAATTTCCAACTTTTTAGAAGTAGGTGCATCAGATGCCCAAGCAGTTCGTTTCAGTCCAGGTTTGGTGGCTATTTCATCACCATTCGGTGTAGGTAAGTCATCAACAGCTGTGAATACAGTAACACCTTTTGCTTTGAAACGCTTTCGCATTGATTCCACCGCCTACGTTTAGACAATAAATATAGGCATAATGCATAAGTTTGTAATCATTATTAAACCAAATAAAAACTACTATTACGCTTTGCAATGACACAAGAAGTGGCTATCTTGCCCCAGTGACCCAGTGGATAACGCTCAGTCATTCAAAGTGAAGGGTACTGGATTCGAGCCCCGGTGCGAACAAAACCACTCACTGGAATATAGGTATATCCAGCTGGCAAGTCCCAAATAGGATGAAACGCGCATCCTGGATTCTTCTGCTAGTCACCGAGATCAATATAATGTTATACGCACTACTGAAAAACATAAACACACATTTGTGCAACACTTCAAACCAAATGTTTTGTATATATCAGCTACAGACTAACTTGATTCGCTCTAAGAGAAGCCTCCTTAACGTCCATATTTAAATCTTCAATAGCTTTCTCCAACTGTTTATCTTCTGAACTGTTCGGTTCAACTAGAGCAGGAATCCTCTCATGACCAAGACCGCCAGCAGATATTAAGTGTGACTCGATTTCCTTCAGGAAGAAGGTGACAGAATACTGTGTGAGCAATGTTAGAGCACATCCAAGGCGACCAGCTCGTGCAGTTCGACCAACTCGATGCATATAGATTTTTGCATCTAATGGGACATCATAATTGACGACCAATCCAACTTGTGGAATATCTAAACCACTGAAAAAAACAAGAGACAGAATTTTTGAAACAGGCATTGACTTCATATCATTCATCTCCTGCTGAATACAGACGATACATCCTGGAAAAACACTTAAAATATTTCTCACTTTGTATATTTTCTCATTACAATTAATTACTTAATAAATAGGTCCAGCACATTGGTAACTAACTACTCGAGTAAAAAACAACCTATTAAATAATACATATTTCAACTCTGGGTACTTGAATGATCACGATGGATAGATTCCAGTTCCTGAAAACGCCAGTTCTACAGATTAGTCACCATCTGAATAGCTTACTGGTGAAGTCATTGACTATCAAACTGAATGACACGAGCTTTCTCAAGATACGCCTTGTAGATCAGTTTCAACAATCATGAAACTCAAGTCTATAACCTTTTGTTTATTGCCTTCTGATACATAACACTGAAAGTTCCTGAGTTCACAAGTAGCGTCAGTATATTTCTTCTGAACCAGCTAGATACTGAGAATATCCACTTATCGGTAAAACTAAAAATTAATCGAGATATACCACAAGTTGAACAAATGTGAAGATGCTACTGACTGATTAGATTTTCACTATTGTTTAAAATTAACGTGCTTGTTACACGGTATGAAAGTTCTTGGTTTAAATTCGTAAATTTGCAGGAGATGCATTTTGCCTAACAGTTTAGTATTGATATTAAATTGCCAAATGCAATCTACTTCTCAATAGCCCTTCGATTGATTTACATATGAAGGAATTAATTCTGCAACTATACTCAAACTAAATCAATGTTAAAGAAGTGATGTAACAGATGATAATAAAGATAGCTAAGGAACAAAAACTGTATACACTGTTTGCATGATATGAAGACTTTAAGAGGGTAAATTATTTGTTTTTCAACCGTGAAGTTTGAAAAATCTAGACTTCTAAGGAATTCCAAACCTGACCCCAAAGGCTCTGCCGTATATCCCCAGTTTGTAATGTAACTCGGTTAAAAATTGTGCATGCCTATGAATCTTCTTCTTTTACACCATCAACTTGGAATGATAATTAGTCTGTTCAGTTTACTCTTGGGATCGTCTTGTCTTATACTTGGTGGTGGCTGGTTTGGAAAACAAATCAGGCTTGTTATCGATTATTTTTAAATTGCTGCTCGGATCTGATTGTCAAATTGCATCAAGTTAATAAATCAACATCATAGTCAAAAGTATAGGCTGAAAGATGAAGTTATGCAATAAAATAAATGACAAAATTCTAAATCGAAAGCTGAAGTCATAATGAAACTAAGTATTAATGTCAACCATACCGTTGGAGATTATTTAGCATTAATTCCATTTCAGTTGAATCTATTACATTTATCACATTGTTGAACAGTATTGTCTGCTGGATTACATTTCGGAAATAATTTATTGTTCATAGTTATATCAAGATGATTACACAACTTTGAGACATCGTTTTTATAGTCCTCATTTTCTCGCCTCCTTTGTGATGTGGGTAGTAGGATTTTCCATATATCCGGAACAGGTGTTGAGTCATTCTTGTTGCATGTATTAGATGTTGATTGGATAAGCAAAGATTTAGTTATCAACTACTCCCTCCACCCTGCTATGTTAGTTTTAAGGATTTTTATCCTGTCCCATTCTATTGTGTATATAATTGGATGCATAGCTACAGTCGAATTTTTCGCTAAATTTGAAATTGTCAGTCCCTTTTATGAACTTCGATAGTGTAATTAGAAGTCAAAGTTTATCTGAACAATGTGATATATTTGCGCAATACACATCGAACAATCTGATCACAAACTTACTTGTCAATATATACTAAACTAAAAAATGGGAGGGCAAATACAACAATTAACACAATAGGTAGTTAGAAATTAAGAAAGGTGGGAACAAACAGGAGGTGATCCTAATCTTGGTAAGAAAAGAAAGTTTACCAAGGTAGATGCAGTGTAAAAACAAATTGTTTTTTATCGAAAATTCATATAAAGAAGAAAACTGCGAACGACGTTGAGATGAAAAAATGAAGTTTATGAGAAGCCCCAAAGCAACAAATTCATATTCACATTTAACAGAATAGTCACAAAAGTTCACATTTAGCTACTCTAGTATTGTTTCAACTACTATTCAAACACAAGTACAGCCATTAGCTTTGAACTTACCTTGAGCAACAATTCACTGGATCGTTTGGAAAAACTTAGGCACCGACTTAGTATCATTCATCGTATAAGGTAACCTCGCCCGGGTAACTAGTTCATTAATTACTAACCGGTCAGAAGACCGCATAAAGAGGCAAGTTTCGGCATACGGTTAACAACAGTATCCAAAAAAACAAATCCAATCGCTAAACAAACTTCCTTCAAAGCACAAACAAATTATAAAACATGAAAACAAACTTATTCCTCCTGCAATCGGAGACACGAAATGACGCCAGTCGGTTAAAGTATCCCCGAAGCCAGTCCAACGATGTCCCTCTCTCTCGATGAAAGTGAAAGTAATGATGGCCACATGGAATGTCCACACTATGTTTGAATCTAGCAGGGCTGCCAGATTCCTAAAGAGATGAGAGATATGGCATGGAAGTGCTAGGAATCTGTGAAAGCAGATGGTATGGAATGGAAGTGGACTCTGCAGATGGACTGTCAACTGCAGAGTCAATTATCTACTCCGATATTGTCACCCAGACGACAACCATGAACACAGTACACTGAGTTTCCAGTGGCCATCATCATGTCTCGAAGAACATCGAAGGCTCTCTCTCTCTCTCTCATGCAGTGGGAACCAATCTCCTACTCCTCCACGATCACGATCATGACATCAGGGTTCAACTCAAAAGGAAGGAAAGTCATAATCATTCAATGCTACGCTACACTACCATACACACCTACACACCTACAAATAATGCAGACCAACAGAATAAGCAGGAATTCTACAGACAACTGCAATCAGTACTGGACAAGACCCAACTCCAGATGGCGACATCAAAATTCCAATGGGTGGGGTGACATGAATGCCAAACTCGCAGCGGACAACACAGGAAGAGAACTCATCAGTGGTTGACAAGCACTCGGTCAGTTGATGAAGGAGGATGGAGAACTGTCTGCAGATTTCTGTGCATTCAACGATTTGCTGATTCCAGTCAGGCAGTGTGTTCAAGCACAAGGATATTCACAAGGCAGCGACATGGATTTCATTTCACCAGACACCACACCAGGACACACTAAAAATCACATCGACTTCATCTCAGTGTGAAGAAAGTGGAGACACAGCCTACTGGACACAACATCAGATGAAGAAGAGGAGCAGATGGAGGTGATTCACACCACTCACCATCTAATCTAGTACAAGAAGCCTACCTACCTAACTACCTACCTTCAATATCAAGTTGAAAGCCTTCAAAGAAGTCGGTGATGATAGACCACAGTTCAAGTTGAACAACCACCTACAACAGAAACTGAACTCAAGCACGAAACTACGAACCACATCTTCACGTCAGCCATCAGAACAAAATAAGAGGCACTGAACAACATCTCTGAAGAAACCTGCATGGAAGAACACTAGAACTCTCTGGAAGATACGTGGAAGGAAACCTGCATAACCGTGTTAGGAAGGAAGGGGAAACAAGACAAGACAAGACAAGACAAGGAATGCATCACGACGGATACATACAAGCTGATAGAGCAGGGAGAGGAAGATGGTGATGGTGGTGGTGATGGTGATAGTGATGGTGAAGCAGAAGATGAACCAATGCAGTGCAGGGATGTACAACGAAAACACGAACTGAGTACAACATATAAAACACTCAATACATTGGACAAAGCAGTGAAGGAGAGTGCACGCAAAGACAAAAGACACTTCCACAACACACTGGCAAGTGGAGCACAACACGCTGCTGGTAGGAGAGACAGAAACCTGACAACATCCTATCAAATAACCGGGTTACTGTCTGGGAGGGAAGAGATCAACGTAGTCGAAATCAATGGAAGATAGTGAAGGAAACCTAGTTACCAAAGAGGAGAAACAAAGGGAATGATGGGCTAGCCACTGCGTAAAGCTCTTGAATCGACCACGACCACGACCACCAGCATTACCACCAACACCACCATCTGCAACTCGTCCACAAATACCACCAGCATCCAAGCCACAGAACTACCAGTGAACACAGGCCTCTCACAAAAGCAGAAGTCATCAACGCCATAAAACTGCTGAAATCCAACAAAGCAGCAGAACGAGATGGAATCCCGTCAGGAGCACTGAAAACACACACACAGACATCAGAAGCGGACACGCTCACACCACACCACTATTGCAGAAGGTTTGGGAGGAAGGAGGGAAGATGGAAGGAAGGAAAGGTACTAGCGGATTGATTGGAAGAATGGGTACTTTGTCAAACTCCCAAAAAAGGGAGATATAAGCCTTTGCAAGAACTGGTGCGGAATCATGCTGCCTTCCACCACAAGTAAAATATTAAGTCACATCATCCTGGAGAGATTAAAATATGCTCTGGATTCAAAATTACCACCGTAACAGGCTGGCTGGTTGGTTGGCTTCAGGAAGAACATGTCATGTGTGGATCAAATTGCAACGCAATTCTACGCTACACATCATCATAGAACACAGTATGGAATGACAGTCAACTCTCTACCTCAACTTCATCGACTCTGAAAAGACCTTCGACAGCGTCGACCAACAAGTAATTTAGCAGACAGCTGCTCCAACACTATACTTTTAGTGCCACAAATCTTTATCAACCTCATTCAACAGGTAGATGACGACGCCACATGCCAAGTGATCCACAATGGAAAGCTCAGTGATGCATTTGAAGTGAAGATAGGGGACAGGAGTAAGACAAGGCTGCCTACCATCATCACCCATGATATTCCTGATTGTCGTGTACTGGACTGGATCATGCAACAAACCGTGAGGAGCTGTGAGGAGAGGGGCATATACTGACTGGACCGGTGAAAAGAGCCCAGAAGAAGATTTGGATTTCGCCACCGATGATGATTTGTGT